CTCCCTGCCTTTGCTCTCCTCAACCTCAGCACGCAGCGCGTCCACAAGAAACTGGAGTTTGTCGTCCATGGCGGAGAGGAGCTCATTGCTTCGGGTACTGCTGCCCTGACCACCTGTGCCCCCTGAAGGCACGACTGAATCTTGTTCGCCGTCCGGCATGGCTGTATGCCGCCTGGTCAAACAAGGACCTTCGGGAGACAAAATACTCAACTTTTCGAAAAATTCAAAAAGTACCGTGCGAGTGATTTCAACCCTGCCGAAAAGGCCTGTTGCTAGTCTCTAACTACTACCTAATTAACTACCTACCAGTAACTGCCCCTCTCCAGACCGGCCTGCTGCCGGCTGGCTACACAACCTGCGAAAGCTACGGAGCTCGAAAAAAGGATACTCTCTCTCCAACACTTTCTTTGTCAGGTAAGGTACCGTGGTGCCTAACTGTGTAGCCTAAGCTAAGCCAGACAGTCAACTGACCCGGATCAACGTGGTAATAAGAGGCCAGATAAGAAGCCAAAGAGACTCGTAATTCTAAATTATTCATTATCATTACCACGTTTGACTTGTGGACCCTGAGTTCGTGCAAGCCGCGCATGATACAGTACTCATGGTTAGCATTTTACCGTTCACGCTATTTTCGACGGTCGGTGTGTAGAGGGCGAGTCTACTGCTTTTGATGTGTTTCCGAGACACGTTTAGCAGTTCTGCTTCTGGGTCCTGACTCCTGACGCAAAGATAGACGTGTGAGGTAACCCTGGTTGGAATCTTACCGTTTCGTTCTCCCGCTAAAAAGAGCTTTCTATCGCCGAAACGATACCAAACCGATGGTATTTTGGGTTTGGTGTACGAATGCCGTTGGATCTAGGACGTGAACTGTAAAATGCCACATCTACACACAAAAAACGGTGCAGGCCGACCGTCGGAAAAAGCGTGAACGGTAAAATGCTAAGGGCCTGTCCAGACTAGGTAGAAAACCACGTAAACACGCCGTAAACATGCTTGTTGCCAAGGTGAGTGACGAAAAATGGCCGATAACGGGGAACGTGGGATTCACGCGGAACGTGAGTCGAGGACCCCTGTACAAAGCACGTTTCTCGTCTACGTGCCGTTTTCGCAGGGTTTGTTGTGTTAGAGTCGATCGGTGGAGTTTTCGGATCGCACTTTTCTTGCTGTTTCCAGCTGCTGCAGCTTGTTTTTGCTTTGCCGTTTTCATAATGCCACACGTCCGTTTCAGCTACGACTCTGAGGCGACATTGATACAGTCGTGGCTGGACATGCAGAGAAATCCCGGGGTCTGGTGAAGAGGAAGGTGTTGTAGAGAGAGAGAGAGATAATTCACTGACGAGCGAGCATTTGAAACTGTTTGGATAGGAAGTAGAACCCTGTTCAGTTGTGAGGCCAAAGCCAGGGACTTTTACTGGAAATACACGGCGGCTACAACCATTAGTTCATCAAGCGATGCTATAGCGGGCCTCGACCGTGACGCTGCGCTGCTGCGAGAGTGTGGCCAAATTTCCGTACCTGGAACAGAGTTCAGGGTGATGTTCCTTGCGCTCGGCGTCAGTACTGCCATCGCAGGCCGCCATTCGTTTTTGTAGCTAGCTGGGTAGGTCTAGACCAAGCCAGGGAGTGCTTGCCTGGTCTACACGCTACAACTACAACTTAGTACAAGTCACTTGTGTGTCTCGTCCAGTGGCAGTAGTGCATCCATGGACAAAAATGAACAGGTACAGGTGACAGAGCGAAGTGTGGACAGCGCGCCGCGTGTACGTCACGTACTCTGAAACGGCACGCCGTTTTTATTACCTGGTGTGGACAGGCCCTAACCATGTCTAGTGACGTTAACAATCTGCACGTACATGTACATTGACACGATTATAGTAAACGTCAAGATACGTGACGTCACCATACCCCCCTACGCCCTAGGAATTAGGATCCCCATCACCACACACACTTCGCATTACATGCATCATGCAGTCATGATGGATCTGTTTTCTGAGAGGTTGAAGTGCAGCGCGAACTGACATAGACTGCACAACGCACTCAAACTCACCTAGATCTACGTGACTCAGCCACTAGTACGGCACTAGACATGAGTGGCCATACCGTGCACGTACGTGGGAGCTCAGCAGTCAGCACAGTCCACGCTTACATGTCATGTAATATTAATAATAATAATAATAATAATAATAATAATAATAATAATAGAACATGAAGAGGGGAGATGGAGGCCGGGGCTTGGTCTCTTGTGAGGATATGCACGGCCGGAGCATGTGTGGCCTGGCCCGCTACATGAGTACCAGCCCAATAGACAGAATAAGCCTGCTTTATCAGTATCATCAACAAAAACCTACAACAAAAAGCCACTCAATAACTGCAAAGGCCGCTAAGTTCCTGTCGAGTTTGGATCTGCCAGCAGCTGGACCAGCTTTACCCAATAAGCATACCATTAAACAAGCGTGCGCTGAGCGAAAATCCAAAACACTTTCCACTATGCCGCTGCATGGGAGGTATTGGAGCCGATTGGAGGAGAATCGCCTAGATAAGGAGCTTACCTTCATGTGGTTGAAATCAAGGACACTGAAACCTTCAACTGAAGGCATGATTATGGCAGCACAAGACCAATCCCTCAAAACGAAAAATTACCAATACGCCATAATGAAGTCAATTCCTCGAACTGATGCCAATTGCAGGCTTTGCAAGGGCAGCTTAGAAACAATTGACCACATTGTCAGTGCCTGCCCAGTTCTGGCTCGGACCAGTTACATTGAACGACATAACCGGATAGTAAAGTATGTGCACTTCGAAATGTGTAAAGCACGAGATCTACCTACTGGTGCTTCACGATTCGACCACCAGCTCAAGGCATTGGTCAAGAGTAATCAGTATCGCCTCTATTGGGAGTATTCGGTCCCAACTGACCTGAAACTATCAGCAAACAGGCCCGATCTGCTCCTTGTTGATGACAAGGAGCGCATCGCCTACATTATAGACATCAGCGTTCCTGGTGAGAACAACATCAATAAGAAAATGGCTGAAAAGCGCTCGAAATATTATGATTTGAAGCGGGAGATTTCGAGGATTTGGTCCCTCAACCAGGTTGACGTGGTCCCTGTGGTTGTCGGTGCCCTGGGAGGCTTGGTGGGGGAGACTCCTCAATGCCTTCGGACTGTGCAGGGAGGAGACCTGGCTATTGTGCAACAGGAGGCTATACAAGGTTCGATTAAAATACTGAGAACTATCCTTAACATGTAGATGCACCTCTGCTGCGTTTGCATGTTCAATAGCTAAGAGACTTGAATAACGACTGATAAAGACTGATATTTCCTTTGTTACTACTCCCTTCATTGGTTGATGTATTTTGCCTGTCGCTGCAAATTCTTTATTATTGTTTTGATGTTGGAGTTCGGATTGAGTTTCTTTCCTTTCTTCCTCTTCCTTCAACTAGTTCTTGTCCCTTTGGTTTTTAGGTTTTATTTATTTATTTATTTTTGTTTTTTGTTTTTTCACTTTCTTTTTGCTGTCCCACCCATGGAAATATTTCCCGGTGGGTCTGGCTTATCGCCTTCGAAAGAAGTGAATGAAGGAGAAATAATAGTAATAATTTGGAAAGGATTGGGAGAACTTCAAATTCAAAGGATCAATCGGGGAAGTGAACTGCCTGAAAAGAGAAAAAAAAATTGATTGATCCTTTGAATAATAATAATAATTTGAAACTCGGATGTTGAGCCATAAATAAATGTAAAAGAGAAAAGGACATATGGATACGAGTTTAGAGTAACTCTCCATCACTGTAACATGATACTATATACAGTCAGAAAGTGCAATAACTAGGCACAAAACTGACAGAGTACTGAGTCGCTTGCCTTCCCCTCTTTGGTCTTTTCATAACCTTGAACCTTCCAAGTTGGAAGGCTGTCGGTTAGCGCTACGGAGATGTGTTAAAGTTAGGTGTCAGGACGACGAATGTCTCAGTACTCTGTCAGTTTTGTGCCTAGTTATTGCACTTTCTGACTGTATATAGTATCATGTTACAGTGATGGAGAGTTACTCTAAACTCGTATCCATATGTCCTTTTCTCTTTTACAATAATAATAATAATAATAATAATAATTTTTGGAAAGGATTGGGAGCAGGGAGTCGTAAAATACCGGGAGGCGACACGCCACACATTTCACCATCCGAGGATTGCCGCACTCGACCCGCGAAATTTGAAGCGTGATTGAAACGTCGTCGTCATCTTCTTTTTCTCAATTGTTTTTGCTATATGCTTCGAGGCTATTCTGGATCTCCAGAGCGAAAGCTGGTTGTTTCTGATACGTACCACGCATTACCTTAGGTTGAGCCGTGGCTTTTAATTTTTTTTTGGAAGTTCACTGCTTTGGAGACGACGGAATGTCAAGGTAAGTTATTCACGAAATGTACTCAAATTTGAATTGAGTCAATGCGAATGACACCCTGTTTTCGGACTAGTTCTCCACTAAACACACCATGCCCATGGCCCCTTCATGTTGTCCAAGTTCCATTCTAGGTTTGTGTGAAGTTTCGAGATGAAGTTCGACGATGTACTCACCTTTCCATGGAAGGGAAACAAAAGTAGCATATCAAACAGAATCCATGCAGTATTTGATGCCACTATCCTCATTCTTCTGCATTCAAAGTGTTTAACATCTATATGGCCCATGAACTACAAACAATATTTGTCATTTCTTAACTGTTCATAGCTGTTCATAACTGTTCTGAACACATTGCCTTCAGGAAACGTAAGGCCGAGTCGCCTCACCGACTGAGCAAAGTTCTCTGCGACGAAAGTCACACTATCGGCGAATGCACTCAAGGTGAATACCCGTCAATATCCTGTATACTGCTTGTACCGCTTATCACAGTAGCATACACACAAGCACACATACATACACACACACACACACACACACACACACACACACACACACACACACACACACATGCTCGTGCACACACAAGCGCAAAATTCACATATCACTGGTTCAGTTGTTTATATCATTAAACAGTTGGCGGATGAGGAGATTTGCTTCCAGGTGCTCTTGCATTGCACTCACGGCGTGTTGCTTGTGTGTGTTGAGCATGCTGGGGAACTGGGAATGGGTTATTAAATTAAGCTGGTGAAACAAGGAGCATGCAGCAGGCACAAGTACAAACGTATGCTTCTGCTCTCCATGCTGTGTTGCAGCTATGGGTGCTGCATAGCCATGGTCACTGAGCGGTTGGTCATTTCTGGGCAACGCTTGATGCTCAGATGTTTGGAGAATGGCTCCAAAATTCTCCAAACAAGGCTGAAGGCTTGTCACGGCATCCTTGCCAAATAAAGGTATAAGCTGCAGCAAGTTGTCGTTGCGACACCTTGCTCCTTCCAGCTCACGCCGCACGGCCACCAAGCACCAACCACCATGGTACTTTTCAGCAAGGTGAGACAAATTGTCAATCACCGGTTCGGGGATGGCTTCAGCAGCTTTGGATGGTGCTATTGACGCTTTCCTGATAGCAGCGGCAGCCGTGGCATGCAGGTAGCTTATCAGATTCGCTAGCACTGCAGATGTAACTTCCAAATCTGAAGAAGAGAAAAGAAAAAGACAACATATAAGGACTGGTGGTTGCAGAGACTGTACTAGTATTCAAAAGCCAGCGTTTGCATACCTACAGTCAAATTGGCTAATAACGACTGCGGATATAACGACAATTCGCGAATAACGACAGAATTTCCATGCCCAGAGCAAAGTACCATCCAACTGAAATACATAGAATGAGACTTCGGGTATAACGACACTTCGCGAATAAGGACACTTTTCTGATGCCCCGCCGAGTGTCGTTATAAGCGAAGTTGACTGTAGTCTGCATACCTAGTCAGAAGCCAATTTTTTTCCAACATGCATGCAAAACGCACTGACCTTCACAATTGATTTTCACTTCGGGAATAGCTGTTGCGATGACGGACAGCATTTGTTGCCATGCTTGAGAAATATCAGCACCCTTGCATGCCTTCAGCTGGCACACTTCCTGGCGTAGCAGATTTGCAGTACCTGATGCCTTCTGTAACCGTGTCGTAATAACATGCAGGAATGACTCCGTCGCCTCAGTAACACTCGCCTGTCTGATTGTCAGCAGTTTGCAAATTCCATGGATCACTGCACCTTCCATAGGCCTGTACACCATGATGGCACTACCACTCTTACATCGATCTGCACATAGACAAAGTATGGTTTGAGGATGGAGGTTTACATCATCTACGGTGATGATACATACTAGGTACACACGTAAATTTTCAGGACTTCAATAAATATCCTGTCACAGTGAACAGACAATGCATCGTGGGCAGACTAGGATGAAAAGGATGGTGTCGACCACCTAATTTATCGGGTCAGTTCGGGCACTTAGGTATGCTACAGATTATACATTCGTGTCCACAAGGAAGAGACAAAAACATGTAAACGAAAGAATCTCACCTGTAGCCCACAGCTGAACATCCCCACAACTCAGGTCACCAAGTGAATACGTGGCGTCATCTTCATCTTCCACGGTGGACTCATCACTTTGGCAGTCATCTCTGTCAAGCTCCATCATCCTTTACTTCGAAGGCCAAGGCAGAAAGTATTATTACTTAGAAAAACAAAACGAACTGCTGGCACTGGATTCGTTGTGTGCAGGATAATTTTATTGAGTTTTCAAATTTTTTGGACCAAACAGCGAACGCGTCCTTTTGCATGACCTGCGCCGCTTTGACCTCATGGGAAGTCCCTCGCCATGCAGCGCGTGAGGTCTCAGCACTCGTGCCCGAGCTGAGGCAATCATCCGACGCGGTTGTGCATCTCGTGTCGCCTCCCGGTATTTTACGACTCCCTGATTGGGAGAACTTCAATTTCAAAGGATCAGTCTGGGAAGTGAACTGCCTGAAAAGAGAAAAAAACGCCAGACCCACCAGGACTCGAACCTGGGACCCTGCTTGTCATGAGCAATGCTCTAACCACTGAGCTATGGGACCAGGCTGAACCTAGAAGGCGCTGACAAGTTTTTCACTCCAAAGGCAGCTCACAACACGTGCCACACATACTGATGGCACTTGGGTCTTTTTCCCTCCCCCAGGGGACCAACCACGGTCAGTTTCTGGAAACTACCAGAGGTGAAAGAAAGTGATTAAATTTTTGGAAAGGATTGGGAGAACTTCAATTTCAAAGGATCAGTCGGGGAAGTGAACTGCCTGAAAAGAGAAAAAAACGCCAGACCCACCAGGACTCGAACCTGGGACCCTGCTTGTCATGAGCAATGCTCTAACCACTGAGCTATGGGACCAGGGTGTTGTGAGCTGCCTTTGGAGTGAAAAACTTGTCAGCGCCTTCTAGGTTCAGCCTGGTCCCATAGCTCAGTGGTTCTGTTGATGGTTTGCGTGGAGCTAGTCCTGACACCTCAGTTACATCAGGTGGTTCGGGTGATGGCACTGGCGCAGCAATGCAAACTGGCACCAACGCTAGTGACACCCTGGGTGCGTTCGAGCCAGATAGTACACCACTCTACGCCAAACTTGTTGAAATCTACGAACAGTGCGGTGCAACTACTCCAGAGCCTAGGTCGAGCCTACCAGTACCTAGGCACGTGGCCAGGAAGTCTCTGGCCTCTGCCACTGCCCGTGTGAACAAGATACTCCCTAGACTCCTGGAGTGTGACCGTGAGGTGCGAAATGACACCACCTCGCTTGGCCAGATCAGTGACATGGTCTATGCTGGGGCCAAGCTTGTACTCTCACTGCTGGATATCAATACAGATGGCACCCCTGACACAACTAGAGGAGAACGTTCCTTGCCTGCCTGGCGACAACGCATTGAAAAACGTGTTTGTGCACTGAGGGCTGACGTCTCCCGGCTGACCAGCTTCCTGCGTGATGGATCCCTCTCTGACACCAACATCAAGCAGCACAGGATCCACCGGCAATATAAAGTCCAGACTTTGGATCAGGCCCGCCAGCTACTGGAGCATACGAAAATGCAGCTAGAAGCAACAGCCGCACGGATCCGGCGCTATAAGCTAGAGACAACACGCAGGTCTGAGAATCGTGTTTTCGTCACGAATGAGCGTCAGTTCTACCGCAATATGACCAAGTCTACGGAAATGCCTGGGCAGCCACCTGTCGACCAGGCTGCTGCGCATCCATCGGCTGAGGCTGTTACTGAGTTCTGGTCATCTATACTGGAACAACCCGTGGGGCTGCGTGGCGGTGCTTGGCTTGATAATTTGGAGAGGGACTGTGAGGAGATTCAACAACAAGACCGTGTCATTCTTCAACTGGAGGACCTCAGGGACATCTTGAAGAAATCAAACAACTGGAAAGCCCCAGGACGGGACAAGATCCATGCATTTTGGTGGAAGAAGTTTTCGTCTATCCACGAGCGGCTTGTGGTCTCCTTTCAATCAATCCTGGATGCAGAGACAGAGTCGCCGGCCTGGTTCTCGTTTGGTATCACCACTCTACTGCCTAAGAAAGGAGACCTTTCTAGGCCCGAGAATTATCGCCCAATAACATGCCTGCCAACGATTAGCAAGATATTCACATCCTTACTCGCTGCTGCCATGTGGCGCCATTTATCTTCAGAGGATATCTTTGCAGATGAGCAAGTTGGCTGTACTCCAGGGCGTGGTGGATGCCTTGACCAACTAATGATCGACAAGATGGTTCTAGAGGATGCAGCATCCCGTTGTCGGAATCTTTCGACGTGCTGGGTGGACTTCCGCAAAGCCTTCGATAGCCTGTCTCACCAGTGGATCCGGAGATGCCTGTTGATCTACCGCTTTGCAGACAATCTTGTCTCATGCATCTCAAGCATGATGGATCATTGGAGAACGCAAATGGTACTGCCTGGTCAAACACCCCGTGCATTCAGTCGCCCAATATCTATCCACCGTGGCATTTTCCAGGGCGATTCCCTTTCTCCACTGCTATTTTGCCTGTCTCTAAATCCGATCAGTGGCGAGTTGACCAGGACGGGTCTTGGCTACCGCTGTGGCCCACCGGCCCAGGTGTGCCCTGTATCGCACCTGTGGTACATGGACGACATGAAGCTCTTCGCCCGAGACGACAATAATCTGCTCTCCATGACCAATGTTGTAGAGTCAATGGGCGACTGCATTGGTATGCATTTCAACCCGTCAAAGTCTAGCTGGCTCACTTTGAAACGGGGGAGAGCCCAGAGCGATCAGCAGTCTGCTCTCCAGACACTCCAGGGTCACGCTATTGCTAAGCTGCAGGTGGAGGAGTCCTACAGGTACCTTGGTGTCCCAGAATCAGCACATTTTCACGCCACCGAATTGAAGACCACAGCAAAGTCTGAGTTCGGCCGCCGTCTTCAATTGATATGCTCGCCTCAATTGAACGCCAGGAACTTGGTCAAAGCCATCAACACCTTTGCCATTCCAGTCATCCTCTACTCTCTGTGCATCGTTGAGTGGACAAAGGCAGAGATAGAGAAACTCGACCGACAGACCCGCCAAGCACTGTTTAAAGAACACGCCCGCCACCCCAAGGACTCTGCCGCCAGGGTCCACCTGCCTCGTGACATGGGTGGTCGAGGAATTCTATCATTCCGGGATCTCCTGGATAGAACCCGTGTCCGGGTGGCGCGGTACCTACAAGCCCACCCAGACGTGCCACTGTTGGCTGCTGTTAAGCGCCATCACGACAATGATGTGGCACCGTCAAAATCAGTTACACGTCAAGCCTCCAGACTTCTGGGTGAACTTGACCTACCCGACTTGGAGACTGCCACAAAAGTCATTGTCAAGAAGGCCGTTGCTCTCCGGTGCCTGGCCGTTATCCAAGGTAAGCCTCTCCATGGCCAGTTCTGGAGACGAGCTTCTGATGCTGGCTTGGACCTGGGCTTGAGTTTTCGTTGGCTGAAATCGCCAACGATCAGGCCTGCGACAGAGGGACTCTTGCTGGCTGTACAGGATCAGGCCATTGCGACCAGGCACTATCAGGTCACGGTCATTGGACGGGGAGACGTTGTGGACATTTGTCGAGTTTGCGGCACTCGCGGTGAAACAGTTGATCACATTGTGGCCTGTTGCCCAGCTCTAGCTAAAACACTGTATATCGAACGGCATGACACGCTCGTCAAGTTGGTGCATTGGGCACTATGCAAGCGGCATGGTCTGGGTCGGCCGGGAAGCAACCCGCTGAAGCATCATCTTGTGCCTGTCACGGAAAATCTTGACATGAAGCTCCTGTGGGAGTTCAATATCCCAACGGATACGCAAGTGCGCCACAACCGTCCAGACCTGGTGTTGCGGTCCAGCACACAGGTGCTGCTGATGGATGTTAGTGTTCCATTGGACCAGAATGTGCCCACAAAAATCGCCGAAAAAATAACAAAGTACGCTCCCCTTTGCCAAGAGCTGCGGCGCATCTGGCATGTGGATGATGTCCGCGTTGTGCCCCTGGTTGTTGGGGCGCTTGGTGGACTGACTGGTGTGTCCCTCTCACACTTTGTGTTGGCATTGGCAGGCACTCTGCGCATTGAAAGGGCTCAGCAATGTGCTATCCTGGGCACGCTGAACATCGTCAAGTCGGTTCTTGGCATTCGGCATTAGGCTCCTCATGTTACGGGTAGAGCTAGTCCGTATAAACCTCCAATACTGCATTTGCTTTGACATCCATGAATGTGCAGTATGACGGTCCTCACAGCCTGATTTTTCTCTTGCCATTTGAGTATGTCCGGCATTCATCTCTTCCTCTATTTCTACAGGTCTATTCCTGTACTGGTAGTCCATTTTTGTGATTGCTCTTTTTGTATTCGAATATGTCCTGGCCTCCTCCATCGTTCTGCTTATTTCTGTCCGTCTCTCAGTTTCTGCGTCGGCTTTCAATATTTTTGCTTTAGTTTTTACAATCCTTTTTGCTTCGGTCTCCATTGCGTTGGCCATTTATCTATTTTTTTTTCTCTCATTACCCTTGGTCTCTTTTGGCCCGGTGATGGGGTTCTTACCTCATGTCATGACAACGTGAGTGAAATAAAGCCAACTCCATAATAATAATAATAATAATAACGGGGTCGCACCCTGTAATAATAACGGGGCTGTTAATTTTATAGTGTGACGTCAATGGGTCCTCGGATACGCGTGGCAACGCAGAGCACAATGGACAAACAACAATGGCGAGGCCCAGCGGGATACGGTGATCTGGCTCCTTTCTATGGCTTGCACGTACATGTACGCTCAGATTCTAAGCGTCGCGGATCATGAAGCCCTTTCACGTGCTTCACCCACGCCTACAACCTGGTATAAAGGTGAGCGCGGGAACTAGCATTCTCTCAGTTACGTTACACAAGTCAGTAGTGAAGAAGAGATCGGTTCCGTTTGGTGTTGATTCAATACTAGCTCTTTACAGTTCTGACCTGTAGTTTCATGAGACTAGTTTTGTTGTAGATTTACAGCGTGTATAGAGCTGATCTACGTGCACTTTGCTAATTGAGAAAGTTGTTTAGCAGACCCTCTGTCAGCACCAGGTATTTCGAAATGGACGTATCGGACAGAACACCGCGCAAAAGTGAGAGTGACCGTCCCCGCCTTCAGGTGAGTAAATTTCATTTCTTCAACCAAAGTTCTCAGCGACTGCTTTTATTGAGT